GGGTTTGGGGTGCCAGATAGAGATTGCCGTTTGTCATGTTAAGCCTTCTAACGTGATTTGTTTGACCGCATTTTATTTATTAATTTTTTAAAAAATGATTTTGTTTACTTATTTTTAGGAAGAGAGGAAGGAGAGGGAGAGGGAGAGAAACATCAATGTGTGGCTGCCTCTCGTGTGCCCCCTACTGGGCACCTGGCCTGCAACCCGGGCATGTGCCCTGACTGGGAATCAAACTGGTGACCCTTTGGTTTGCAGGCTGGCGCTCAGTCCCCTGAGCCACACCAGCCAGGGCTTTCTTTTGATAAAAACCTGTAAAGTTATAATTCTAAAATTCAATTTTAAATTTTATTGCTCTATACTGTTTTTTCTGTCCTCTCTCTTTCACTTGAATTCAGTATTTGTTTTGCTGGAGAAAAACCTCTAGTAATTCTTTCAAATATGGGCTGTGGATGAAAAGGCCATTTTACCTTCCATCCTCCCAGGTTTATTGAGGTATAATTTACATATAGTAACCTTCACCCTTTTCAGGCATATATTTCAATGAATTCGGAGAAGCCTACACAGTCATGTAACCACCACGACAAGTAGTCCCCTTGTTCCTCTCCTGCAGTCAGTCCCTTCCCCTCCCAGCTCCTGGCAACCACTGGTCTGGCGTCCGTCCCTATCATTGCCTTTTCCAGACGTCATATAAATGGCACCAAACAATATGTGGCTTCTTTTACTTAGCATAATGCTCTTGAGGGTCATTTATGGCCTTGCATTTCTGGGGACCTTTGCAATCCAAAGGGACAGTTGTCACCAGTCATCAGTGCTGCTCACCACATATTTGTGGCTGTCTGTTTTCCGGTCTTGTGATCAGAGTACTTCCTGGCTCCCTTGTGGTTGAAAGTGGCCTTGTGATTAGTTCTGGCCAATTATGGGTGAGTACACGTCCCTTCTGGGCCAAACCATTCAATTAGCAATGCGAGATCCTATTGAGCTCTCTGTCTCCCTGCGACGGCCATGGGTGACATTTTCAGAGGTCACTGCTCCATTCGCCCGAGTCTTAGGATGACTACAACCAGCAGATTCTACTGCTAACCTGTCATGGACAGGTAGCCAATAGATAGGTAGCTTGGACCAGTAGCTCACCTTCGTGGGTGTAAGCCTTTGAGATGTGAGTGTGGTTTGTTATCTCAGCACTGTCTGTACTGGGACATATAGAAGGCTTGTGTTTTCGGCTTTGGGAAGTTTTCTTTTGTTGCTGTTTTCATTACTTCCTCTGTCTCTCTCACTTTCCTCTTCCTTTCTGGAACTGTTCAGCAGGTGTTGGAACTTTTGAATATACCCTCCTTGTCCTTTTGGCAGTTTTCTGGGACAAACAGTCAGATTAATTTCTTCCCTTACTACTGTGTTTTCCAGCCGCATTTATTTTGCTCTTCAACTCGGCCTTTCCTTTTTATTAGTAATTGTGTATTTATGCTTATTTTCCAAGACCCCCACTTGCTTCTTTTCCATAATGAGTTGTTGCTTAATGCATGCAGAATCTTCTCTATTCTTTGTAAGACTATTTGTTACTTTAGAAGTCTTCCGTTTGTTCTGTTAACTTTCCCTCTGTATTCGTTAGCTCCCAGGTAGCTTCCTTCCAGAGCCCTGGCTTACTTTACCTGTTTGCTGACATCTGCTGGTCTGTAATACTTTGTGCTTGGGAATCCCCGTTTCCTTGACTGCCGGTTCCATTACAATGGGGTGATAGTAATACTTCTGACTTGGGGCGAGGAGCTGGCTCTCTGTGTCCTTGTGGTTTGCAGGGTGTGGGAGCTCTTTGTCCTTCCTGGAGTTCTCAGCTCCCTGGGGCTCTGGGGGTCAGCTGGCACTGCCCACGACTCAGCAGGAAGCGAGGTGGGGTCCTCGGCCTGGACGCCCTGCAAGCACTTTCCATTTTCCTGAAAACCACCCCAGAGACCCCCTTGGAGCCTCTTATTGTGAGCTTGGAGCCCCTTCTAGACCTCACTCTTGGGGGTCCTCTGCTTCCTGCCTTTTAAACTGTGGTTTTCCTCCTCTTGTCGCTTCTCTAATACACTGTCTGGGGATAAAGAGTGAGAACTGCACACAGCATGAGTGCGCACCAGTCAGGCGCACAGATCGCCAGTTGTAACATCAGCCTCAAGAGGTTATCTCCCTTCAGGAAACTGATGTTTATATTGTTTAATTTAAAAAAAGTATACATCCTCCTTCATGGATGTCTTTTGTGTTAAGAAACCGAACAGAAGTAGAATCCACTCCAAAAAAAAGTACACAAGTAACAATTGTTTCTTTTGGAAGTTAGAAAATACAGAATAAAAATTAAAGTCACCTCAACCAGAGATAAAAAGATAACTGGTGTTAGTTAACCTGGTACACTTTGTGATATATGCCCATTAATATATGAATGTATTTTTTTTAAGATTTTATTTATTTATCTTTAGAGGGGAAGGGAAGGAGAGAGGGAGAGAAACATCAATGTATGGTTGCCTTTCGTGTGTCCCCTGCTGGGAAGTGGCCTGCAGGGAACTGGTCTGCAACCCCGGTATGTGCCCTGACTGGGAATCGAACCGTGATTGTCTGGTTCGAAGGCCCGTGCTCAATCCACTGAGCTACACCAGCCAGGGCTTGAATGTATTTATTTTTGAAATTGATATCGAGTTACTGATAAGTTCCTGAAAGTTGTTTTTCCACCCGACAATACATCATGGAGTTCCTTCCGAGTCAGTAAATATACATTCACATCTTTAATGTGCAGCATTCTGCTATGTTTGGGGCCATAATACATCCAATAACTTCCCTCTTGTTGACATTACATTGTTTCTGTTTACGTTTGATAGATGGTACTACCATCATCATCCTTGTACATACAGCGTTAGAATAAAATTTTAGAAGTGGAATTTGCTGTGTCAAATGTGGCTGGGCATTCAAGAGTTTATCAAGAAGAAAAACATTCAGCCGAAGGAAGGCAACTCAAAGGCTGGGCCTTCAGATATTTGCAAACAAAGGTCCAAACGGTAGTTTGGGCGAGGGGTAGGAGGCACCTCGAACTCACACTGGAAGCTGGCCACCCCTGGCGACCTACTCCTCCTTAAAGCCATCTAGGAAAGGACGACTGCTGCCACTTTGGGAAGCCCTCCCTCCCTTCCATCCCCAACGCCCGCCCCTTCGGGGAGGAGGGTGGGGCAGGGTGTTCAGCTTCCACCCAAATCTGGAAGTGAAACTGGCTTCAAAGTGGAGGTCAGGGTGCTCCCGGGGAGGGCTCCGGTGGCCCTGCTGGGACTGGCCTGGGTGCTGTGGGGCTAGCGGCCTCACTGGGCCCCTTGATGCCCTGCCACCCCGACCCTCCCCACTCGGCCCCCATCCTAGGCTGGTTTCCAGTTCCTAAAACCTTGACGGCTTTCTAGAAGTGTTCATTATTAGGTTGAACCACAGGAAATTGCAGTTTCTGTAGGTCAAAAGTGGTTGAGTGCTGGCATTGTTTAGGAACCTCGGCTAGTTCAGCCTGCAGCACACTTAGTTAGCACTCATGCTGGGCTAGGTGCTTCACCTAAACTCCTTCTTGTCCTTTTTTAACAGTCACAGCTCTCTGGGACTGAGGACTTGTTCCCCGCTTGATAGGAAACAGAACTACGGCTCAGAATTTCCCCTTTCGGCTCAGGGGCCGGCTCGTCCTCCAAAGGCGCCTCTGCCACCACTGTGATGCCCCAGGAAAATGCCTTGACTTAGCAGAGCCACTTTCCACCTCTGTATTTTTTTTTTCTTTTAAGATGTCACTTACTTATTTTTGGAGAGAGAAGAAGGGAAGGGAGGGAGGAAAACTGGAAGAGCCTCTCACATGCTCCCCCACCAGGGACCCCTCCCGCAACCCAGGCATGTGCCTTGACCAGGAATCGAACTGGTGACCATTTGGTTGGCAGCTCGCGCTGAATCCACTGGAGCTACACCAACCAGCACTCAGTGGGATGTTCTCCTTAGGGACATTCCTGTGGTATTCGGCGACTCTGTCCTCTCACCAATAAAATGGGAACAACCACAGTGCCCAGCAGCTTCAAGTCGAGCTGTTACAACAGTTCCGGGCCCTACAGGAGAAAGCGGAGCCTGGGTGGGGGAAGGAGCCCCACCCCCACCCACCACGTGGAGGGCCCGCCCCGCCCGCGGCGGCGAGGCCTCTGGCGACTCTCCGACTCTCCGGAGCGCGGGGCTGGGAGGCACGGCCTGCTCTGCCAACGCCTTCCCTAGGCTACGTCACTGGCGAGTGGCACTACCTGGCCACCTTTCCCACAGCACCACGGGAACCTGGAGGAGGTCGGGGCGACGAGGGGCGGGGCTTGGAGGCGTGGCCCAGCTCCCCATTTTTTCTCTTTTTGTCCGCCTTGAGACGAAAAGGCTCCCCTGCGCCTTTAAGAGGCTGACGCGGGCAGCCGATTGGCCGAGACGTGCCGGTGACCTCACGCCGGGCCCGCGCCCTCCCCTTCACGCCCCGCGGCGCACTCGCGGGCAGTCCCGGCGCTGGCCGGGCCGGAGTCCCCTCGGCCTCGCAGCCCGCGTCGCCCCGGGCCCCGGGGGATGCCCCCGCCCGGGCGCTCCCATGGCCGCCGACGTCTTCATGTGCTCCCCACGTCGGCCTAGCAGTCAGAGCCGCCCGGTGCTACTCAAACCCCCGGTGCCTGAGGACGACGACGACTCGGACACAGATGAGCCGTCCCCGCCGCCCGCCTCCGGCGCCGCCAACCCGGCCCGGGCCCACGCGAGCGCGGCGCCGCCGCCGCCCTGGGCCGGGCCGGGCCGCGAGGAACCTCCGCGCCGCCAGCAGATCATCCACAGCGGCCACTTCATGGTGTCGTCGCCGCACCGCGAGCACCCGCCCAAGAAGGGCTACGATTTCGACACGGTCAACAAGCAGACGTGCCAGACCTACAGCTTCGGAAAGACCAGCTCCTGCCACCTGTCCATCGACGCCTCGCTCACCAAGCTCTTCGAGTGCATGACCCTGGCCTATAGGTAGAGGACCCGGAGACCCCCGCCTGCCCCACCTGCCGAGCCGCGCTCCCTTTGACAAAACAAGGGTGGGAGGCTGAGGTCCCCCGGGGGAGCTTGACTTCACACATTCCCTTTGGGTCTTGCCCCTTCGGGAGGGTTTTGGGGGGTTTGGCCTCTTCCCCTCTTAGCAGTGGTTGGGTTCTTCCGACTTACAGTTCCCCATCCGGGCCCTCCCCTCTAGTGCCCCGAGGCCACCGATTTTGCACTAGAAGGAGGTGTAAAGACAGGCTGCACCTTGTGTCCCTCGACTGTAGCCAGCCCTTCCCCGAGACGCTTTGTGTTTCCAGCAGTCAGGTGGTTAAGACTACCTGTCCAGGGGTGGTTAAGTTCAGGTTCCAGTCTTGAACGGGTTGCGTAAACTCGGAGGAGACTGTTTCCTCCTTTATAAAGAGGGGATGACAGCTCTGACCTGTGTGGCGCCGTGGGTTGGACGTGGTCCCGCAGAGCAAAAGGTCCTGGTTCTGTCCCAGGTCAGGCACATGCCTGGTCTGTGGTTCTGTCCCTGTAGGAGTCGGAGGAGAGGTAGCCGATGGATATTTCTCTCTCTCTCTCTCCCCCTCTCCCTTTCCCTCTCCCCCCTCCCTTCTTCTCTCTAAAATAAAAGGGGGGAGGCGGCTGACAGGGGTATCCTCTGCACTGGCTGTTGTGGAGATGGAGCGAGACAAGTACAGTGCTTACTCCAGGGTCTGGCTCGTGGTTACACCCTCCGAAATTCCCAGCAGAGGGACATCCCCCTTGTTGGGAAGCCCTCCCCCAGCTTGGGAGGGGGCCAGGCGTCTCCTAGGAAGACTGCTGGAGCCCTGCTGTAGGAGGCGCAGCCTGTCCTCCTGGCGCGTTGGAGGGTTCTCTGGCCGGCCCGGAAACATTATACGGAGGTGTCATTGTTGAGGGCAGGCTTCCCAGACACCATCCTGACATGTGGGCTTGGCTCAGGGCGCAGGTCTCTTTCCTTTGCCCCTGAAACGCCCGGCCCTCCCGTGGCACTCGCTGCTCGCCCAGTGCAGGTGTGAGGCGTTTGTTGTAGGTAACTTCTGCCACGGCGGCGGCGGCACTTCCTTGCACGGCTGCAGTGCAGGGGAGCCCCGCCCGGCACAGGGCACAGGGGAGCACCTCTGCCCAGTGGGGTTAGGGATTTATAACTGCACTGGCTGGGGCTCTTAAGTCTACTCTGCACGCAGTGCAGGATGTTTCCTGGGAGATTCCAGAAAAGTGTCAAGATGGAAGTGGGAACACTCCCCCCCCCACTTTTTTGGGGGGGTTGGGGAGAACCATGAGCCTGGAATACATCCAAGTTAAAACATTACACATTTACCTGGGATTATGAAGTTAAAACACTAGATACTGGGCCCCGGGTGATATTCTCCTCCTCTGGAATAAATGATTAATCAGTCTGTTCCTTTGTTATGTTCCTGAAATGCCCCCACCCTCCCATTTCCTCTCCAGCGTCCCCGGTGGTTTGTTTGCCACTGGCTGCTTCCCCGCCCCCTTCCCGGGCCACAGGTCTTGCTCTGCTCGGCTTCTCTGGTCTTGCCAGTTTGAGCTGGCGCCGGGCCTGAGAAGACGTTCTGTTTTGTTTTTTTTAACCAGTGGTACTGAGATTGCAGCCCTTGCTCCCGCTGAGGTCGTGAGCCCCTCCACTGGAGTCGGACCTGAGTGGACGGTGGCAATCGCTGCAGGGCGAGGTGGCCCTTTTACACCAGACTGGGGGCGAGTGGCAGGAACGTGTCTTACTAAAAGCACTAATCTTCTCCCTTGTTTTAACATAAACGGCATGTATGGGGGGGAATGGATGCTGAGTTGCAGGAGGTGTGGGCTAGACAACTCTCACCTAAGCTCTGCCAAAGGGAAAAAATCACCCAGTCTCCCTTTTGCCCTGTTTGGATAACCTATTATTATTAAATAACACCAAGGAATTTTAGTAATGGCATCCCTCCCCACCCCGCCACTTCTTTCAGAAATATTTGGCGGCTGGCCATTGCTTAATTAACTTTCTTGATTGCAAAATGCACCCCTAGTTTGGTTGGAGGCTTACCTTGTGCTTAACACCTCCCACCCGCTGGCTCTCTGGCTTTCCCACACAAGTCCTGCTGCCGCGGGTCTCTGATGGCTGTCTGTGTCAGTCTCTCTGTGTGGGGCTGGCTTGGATGGCCCCCGAGCTGAGTTGGCCATGTGGAGCCTGGGTACAGAGGAATGACTCAAAACCTGCCGTCCGGGCTGTAGCCTCCGGCTTGCAGGACGCAGCATGAGAGCAGAGGGGAGTTTCTGGCCTCAGCCACCCTGACATGGTCACTCCCTGGCTTCCAGGAGAGGGTGGGTCCAGGTGGGGGCAGCCAGGGAAGACGACCTAACCCCAGAGGGGGTCTAGGTCTGCCTGGCCGCCCCCGCTCCCCCCCCCCCTGCACTGGGGCCAAAGTCTCCATAGGCGAGTCCTGGGTTTCCCCCGCCCCCCTGGCCTGGAGGGAGGCCAGCGGGCCTCCTCTTCTGTGGGACCGTTTCTGGCCTGGGCTCTTTCTGACCAACTTCCTCTCTGTCCCCTGGCCTCGTTCTAGCTGCCTCTCTCTCTTTGGTACACTCTGTGCTTTTTTTTTTTTTAATTTGGTTTCCTGTAAACTGCTGCCTTCCAGCTGTTCCAGATGAGGTTCAACAGCTCTTTGGGGGAGGAACCAAGTTCAGGGGAAGTTGCGGTTATTTTCCCCCAGTCCTGTGAAGAGGTCTAGGGATTATGGCCTGTTCCTGAACATGCAAAGTCTCGGAGTCCTCCAGGGTCTTTCGCAGGGCCGACCTTGGGTGGGGAAATAGGGTGTGTGAGGAATGGGGACTCTGAGTGCCCAGTGGCCCACGTGGGTAAATGACAGCGCTGATGGGACCCCAGCTTTACGTGGCTTCCTTGAAACCTGTGTCCTCCCCACTCTGATGTCAAATAGCCCTGGAGTGAAACACTTTGATTTCGTCCAACATCGTAGTGCTCAGTGATTGGGACGTTTTGGGGGGAAAGCCGCTTCCCCCCAAGGCAGAACTTACAGGATAGAAGCTGCCTTTCTCAGCCTTTCTGTCGGCCACTGTACATGGGGAGGGTTCGCTGGCGAGCGGGGGGAGCGTCAGGATCGACTGAGACTGTCTGTGAATGTGCCTTGTACCTGGCAAATTGGAGGCCAGAGGAGGAGTAATGGACTCGTGGAGTCCAACGCTGCGTCCTCGTCCAGCCAGAGCTGGGTGGGAGCCCAAGTTTCTCTCATGTAACCTGAAGGAAGTAATGGATCTGACCAGGGCCTTGTACTGGGGGGGTTTCAAATAGCTGCGGGTCATGTAATACTCAGGTGGGGTGGGTTGCCCATGCTTTCTAAGGCTCCACTGAGGACCCCCCAAATGTAATTCGGGTCCTTGCCCTCTTAGCATTGTAAAGAGTGTCACACGCATCAGTCACTCACACAGACTTGGAAGGCCTCTGGCGCATAGCTTTTTGTGGTCGGTTTTGCTTTCACTTCTCTGCCTTTCCGCGCAGCTCTTCCTTCGAGAGCCTCGGTGTGGACGCCTGTGAGGGTGTGGACGCCTGCGAGGGTGACGGTCCTTCTGTTGTGTCCAGAAAGGAGCAGTGGCTTTCTGCACAGGGGGCTTCTGCCGAGTGGAAATTTGAGGAGACCTCTTAATTTGGGCCTTGGGATACAAGTTTCTAGACTGTGACCTCGAGTGAGTGTGGCCTGTATGGTCACCGCCTGTTCCTGACCCAAGGCAGGAGGAGTCCCTGCCAGATGGAGGGAGCGGCAGGGATTACCGGTCAGTGCACCGTGCCCTTCACATCGTAAGCTTTGCAGAGAGGGACTTTCCGACGCCAGGCCTGGTGGCGGGTGTAAATGGGAACCGGCCAGGCCGATGACTGAGTCTGCTCTCCTCGAGCGTGCCGAAGACCGTGCCGAAGACCGGCAGCTGCTCCTGTCCCGGGCTGTCTGCGGTCGTCGTGCGGTGTGTGCACGGTCTGCCGGCACAGGGCTAGACCCGAGTGAGGGCTGCGAGATGAGAAGGAAGGCTCTGTCCTCAAGCGGCTCGCAAACCTGGGGAGGGACAAGCAGCCCGTGCGCGACAGTCAGCAAGGGCTGTGGTAGAGACTGGGAACCAGGTCCGCGGCAGCGCCCAGGGCGGACGGAGACCAGACCCAGGGCGGGAGCAGGCACAGCAGCTGTCGGTGTGGACGGTGTCCCCGACAGCAGGGCTTCCCCTGCACCTCCCCTCCCCTTGTCACCTGCTGAAAGTTGTGAAGCAGGTTCCCCAGCAGGAAGCCCCCTTTTCACCCATCCTCACCTGTTCAGTGGTCCGGGACCAAATTTCCTTTTCACGTGGAGGCTGCCTGGCTAGCTGCCGTCCTGAGGAAAGGCGAAGAAGGGCGATGAGATTGGGAAGAGCCTGGGACAGAGGCCAGAGGAGGGGGTGGCGGGAGTTTACCTGCTGGGGCAGGGAAGGGCATTCAGACTGACGGAGCCCCGCTGCGTCCTCGCTTCCCCTTACGCCCCCTTGTGCATTTCTCACAGTGCCGCTCTCAGGCGGGTGGTGGTAGTGGTCTTATTTTTCATATTTATAGAAAAGGAAAAGGAAAGGAGACCCGAGCTTAGAGGTGAGTGTGCCTTGTCACCGAGGGGTCAGGCCGCTCGCCCCAGGCGGCATTGGGAGCCTGAGTGTCATCTCCCTGAGCTGCGCACAGAAATGGCAGCTTTGTTAGCAAGGCTGTGAAACTGCCAGTTCCGCCCCTCATGGCAGGCATGGGTCTGAGACGGGAAATGAGAGCCTGGGGCAGCTCTGTGCCCTCCGTGGCTGCCCGTCCCCACTGGTGAAACCCTTCTTCCTTCGAGGCTCAGCCTGACTGCCAGTCGCCCCAGTAAACCCGGAGGGAGAGATCACAAGGGTCACCGGTAAATCCACAACCTTACCGACCCTGCCTCGTGTCATCTGTCGTGGGCGGACCTGGCCGAACTAGCCGTCCCGGAGCCTGGAGTGCCCAGCACATAGTGGGTGACCCAGAACTGTCTCACTTTTTGGACTATAAGATGCACCCCTCAAATTTGGGAGGAAGGCTGTGCGTGTCTTACAGTCCGAATGTAGCTTACCTGGCTAGTAAATATAGTTTATATTTACATCGGTGAAATATTATGGCATTAAATATTTTACCACATTTTTTGCTTCAAAAAGTTTTTTCCCATTTTCCACTAAAACCTAGGTGCGTCTTACGGTCCCAAAACTGGTACATACGTGTGGGGTTGGGAAGGGAGGCTCGGGCACCGGGCTTGCTCCTGGCAAACCTTGTTTACCCTCGGCTGCACACAGGCGGGCCGCCTCCATGGGAGCGTGCTCTGGGGCGTGTTGGTGTGGGTGGGGCGGGGCAGCAGGCCAAGGGCTGTTGCTGGGTGGTGTGCGTGGTGGCCTATGTGGACTGTGGCAGTAGCCGGAGTAACCCCTCACCCCCACCAAGAGGCCCGCATCCTAGTCCCCACAGCCTGTACAGATGGCAGCCTACGTGGCAAAGAGGAGTTAAGGTTGTCGGTCAGCTGCTTTCAAAATGGGGAGACTATTTTGGGTTATCTTGGTGGACCCACGGTAAACTCGAGGGTCCTCCTTAACAGCAGAAGAGGAAATCACAGGAGCGAACCAGAGAGAGCAGAGGGAGGAGGACTGGGCAGGGTGCTGTGGGCTTTGAAGCTGGGGGTTTGAACGGGCGGGGGAGGCCTCCTTGAGAAGCTGGGGGGAGGAACAGGGGCTTCTTCAAGAAGCTGGAAGTGGCAAGGACAGCTTCTCCCTGAGACCATCCGAAGGAATGCAGCCTGCAGACATCTTGGTTTTAGCTGTACAGACTTATTTCAGACTTTGCCTTCTGGGACCCTCAGGCCATATACATCGGTGGTGTTCCAGCCTTTAGTGTGGTCATGGGATGTAGCAGCAGGAGGGAACTAATGCAGACTGGTCTCCAGAGTTCCCTGGGGTGATGTTTTTAAGCACACGACCCAGGTGTAAAAGTCTTCTCTCTTCCAGCACTGGGCAGTGCAGCGGCCTGCCCCGGAGTCGTATTGGGGTCCACTGAGAGTACCAGGTGCCAGTTCAGGGATCTGGTGGTGGGGGATCCTCGCCGTTAGGGGCAAATTCTGTAAAATGGGCCTTAGCCTCGCTCCCTAGTACAATCCCCACAACAGGGTCCTGTAGAAAGAGAATTTCATTCATTTTTTAAGAACTTACGTAAGGGCTGGAGAACCGTTCAGTGTGAGCTCCCACCCCTGGAATTGACTCCCTCCTTGGGTGTGATACGTGCAGCCCAGGCAGCGAGGAGCTCTGGAGGTTCAGGCCGTCTCCCGCTGGAATTTTTTCTGTACCTAGTGTTCAGGGCGCAGACTTGCGTTTCAGTCACAGCTCTCTCGGCCACGTGGATCAGGGACCCTCCTGCGAGAGCCTGTGCGGTGGGGTTATTATTGCCAGTGTCAGGAAGGGTGCTCGTGACCTCATGACTCTGAGTCCAGGGCCCTCCAGCCCCCCTCGGTGGAGGCTGCAGCTGGGTTCCGGGCGGCTCCGGGGCCTCAGCAGGGGTGCCGGCCCTTCTTCCCTGGTACACTGCCCTTAGGTGACGGGTCTCCTCTCAGGCTCTGCTTTTCTTTGTGGTCTTCTGCTGCCACCAGCCGGCTCCCACACCTGCTGTCCTGTTCTTCTCTGCTTCAGAGCTTCTGCTTACTGGCACCTCTGCCTGGGTGAAGCCTGCCTGTGGCCTGCGTTTCCACGCAGACCTCGTAGAGAACTGCCTTGTTACCATCAGTGCTCTTTGCCAGCTATCTAAGTAAACTAGCCTTATAGCCTCCAATTCAGGTGTTTGGGAGGGAGGCTAGCCAGCTCCTCCCTCTCCAAACAGACCGTCACCAGCCACTGAGCAGGAATTTGGCCCTGGTCTTTGGACCGGCTCTTCCTAGCGCAGGTGAAGAAGTGTTCATCGTCAAGTTTCTGTGTGTGCCAGACACTCCTGTAGCCCTTGGGGACAGAGCAGCAAACAGGACAGATGGCTCATCTCCCCTCACGGAGTGTGTATTCTAGTAGGGGAATCAGTAAGCAAAGCAGATTTGTATTGTTTGTGCAGCGAAGGACACAGCAACAGAGAAGATGGCACGTGACAGCGTGGGAGTGGGCAGACGCTTTATCTCGTCCCAGAAGTCCTTTGAGGAGGTGACATTTCAGGTTGAAGTGAAACCTGAGTGGGTAGCCATTCCAGGCAGTGAAAGAGCCCTAGGCAGAGGCCCAAGGTGGGATGAAGGGCCCAGTCGGGGCCGGACGGAGGGCCAGGAAAGCGGGGAGTGGTCAAAAGGCTGAAGCCGGTGGGGGCCCTTCTGGCCTCGGTGAGAATTTGGGAAGTTGTGCTCCTCGAACTGGGGAAGGGGTTTGTTGAGGCCGCTCTGCGAGACTCGAGGGTAGGAGGCCACAAGTGGACATGGGGGCCCGGGGGACCGCTGGCGCTGTTTCTCAGGTGGGGGTGGCAGCGGTGGGGGTGATGAGAAGTGGCCGGTTGAGGCAGGTTTTGCCCTCATGAGTGGGTCGGACACTCGGGATGGAAGGAAAGGAGGGGTCAGCAGTGACGCCGAGGTGTTGGCCTGAGCCCTGGGAGCCACGGCGGACGTGAGGGCTCCCGGGATCTGTGTGGCCACCGCTGCCCTGTGCACTCAGCTTGGCTGCCTTGGGCTGCCCAGACGGCTGGAGCCGTGGGCGGGGCAGCTTCCCCTCGAGGGGGCGGTCAGTGGCGGGGGTGCGCCATGGTGACCCAGTCGGGTCCTCCCTGCTCCCGGAGCAATCCCCCACTGGGCCCTGGCCAGCCCAGGCGCCCTGGGCTCTCCTGCCCCTGCTGCTCCGTCTTGCCTCCGAGGGGCCGACTGGGGAGGGCAGGTTTTGGAGTTGCAGGCTAGCTTTCAGAAAGTACTGTTTTGTCCTGGTGAAATATTCAGTGTCTGATATCCCGAGTGGTATTTTTACTCAGTTCAGGCTGGTTGTGGTGGAGGAATAGTGCCAGGTCTCGAAAGCCCCGAAGAGGTGGTTCCGGATCTGGCTGTCCTGCTGCGTCATCAGAACGTCTGCTAGAAGGAGGCGGCGGGGAGGGTTCTTTTGGTGGCTCCAGAAAGGTGTCTGAGATCTGGAAAGAGAATTCCAGAAACTGAATGTCACTAGCTTCTGAGTCTCCGAAGTGAGCAGAAGGACCCGACTGAGGACCAGTGCAGAGGCAAGCTAAGCAAGAGCTCGTAATGGGCCTGCAGTGAGCGCCAGGGTCCCGGTGGGGACAGAGCTCTGGGGGGTTTCAGCTCCCTTGGAGGGGGTGGCACAGGGATTCTGGTGGTGGGGTGCCTGCTGAGGACCCCTCTTCTCTGAGCAGGAGGGTCCGTTTGGAAAGCGGGTTCCGAACCCTTCCCACTGCAGCTTAAGGGCCTCTTGGTCGGTCACCGTGAGACTGACTCAGTCACCAAAACAAGAAGCAGCTTCTTATAGACAGTGAGGGAATCAGGCTGGTTTCCTGATATTTACCCAATCTTTCTAGATCAAAAACAGAAAACCCTATAGAACCTCTTCACACGCTCACGTGGCGACCGGCCCACCTGCGAATGTCCTCCTTTGGCTCGTGGGACCCACCCAGACAGCTCGATGCTGAGCTTTAGAGTCAGTTTATAAATCCTTTTGTCTATTAAAATGAAACACTTGCACTGAATTTTTAAAGCCGTGTGTGATTACATCAGTTTGCTCGTTTAAACAGCTAGTTTCTGGTTGAGTAGCAGGGTCTTTTGAATTGCCGCCTCCATCTTGCAGGCTGTCAAATGGCCTTCTGCCTCGGAGCAGCGCCCTTCCGCTCACACAGCCTGGTGCTGGTGGGGGCTGTTCAGCAGCTTTACCGAGGTGTAACTTACCTGTCACGAAATGCACTCGCTCCAAGGGCCTGGCTCCCTGAGTTTCCAGCGCTGTGGTCCGCGGTTGCAGTCCAGCTGCAGGACTGGACCCCCCGCCCCACTAAGGCCCCTCCTGCCCGGGTGCGGTCGGCCCCAACTCCGGCTTCAGCCCCTGACAGCTCCTCTCTGCTTTTTGTGTCCACGGGTTTGCCTTCGCCAGACATTCCACATCGGGGGAGTCCTGCTCCACGTGGCCTTTTGTGTGTCTTCACCCGATGCGGTGTTTCAGGTTAGCCCGTGATGGTGCTGTTGTTGCTGAACAGTGTTCCGTCGTGTGAGTGTTTTCTGCATCCACTCGTTGACAGCCATGTCTCTGAGGGAAGCCTTCATCATCGGGCATCACCTTTTTGTCCCCCGTGGCGGGTCCTCTCAGAGACTGGGGTAGGGACTTCCTCCCGCAGCGTGGCCAGGAAGCGGCAGTGAACTCGATTGGCCGGCACGGGACAGCGGCGCCGTGGACGGACAGCCCGCCCCCCCAGCCCCTCTCAGTCAGGTCGCCCTTGATTGTAAAAGGGGGGGGGTGGCAAGAGAAGGGGTTTGACTGGGATCAGGGTTACCAACCTTATTTTTTCTTTACGGACCTAGTGTTTTTTGAGAGATGGTGCCCTAGAAACAAGTTGCCTTGAGCAGTAAGACAGAGCAGGCGGCCGGTGTATACCATGGCCCGGCGCATCCAGAAACGCTCTGCTGAGTGACATAAACAGGTCCCACCCGAAAGAGCCAGTACTGATCCCACTCACATGAAATTCTAGAATGGGCGCAGCCAACCCGTGGGGAGAGAAACCGCGCCAGCACTTGGCTCTGAGTGGGGGCCGACCGGGAAGAGGCAGGAGAGAAATTCTCGGTGATGGTGATGTTCTGTATGGTCTAGAGCCCTGGGTACAGATCTGTTGGAAGTCACTGAGTGATGGAAGAGGTGTGCCCTTTATTGCATGTAAATCTCTCCAAGACCAACAAGGACCAGTGAGGAGGACGGGACCCCGGGTAGCTGGTGTCACACGGGCTGCTGGGTTAGGGGCGGAGCGCGCTGGTGTCCGAGTCTGGCTTTGAATCGGGGGGCGCTCCCACGGCGGGGCCTCAGGACCCCTCCCCACGCCCAGGTACCGAGAGCCCCAGGCGGCTTCAGTTTTGTGCATTGCGTCTGTTGATATTTGCTGTGGTAGAAGTGAAAATGGAGGGAAATTTAAAATACTCGTGGAAGCATTTAAAAATAACAAATAACATCTTTTTTGTAGAAAACAACCTTCAAAAAAATTATATGAGCGACGTTGTTTTACCCATTTACAAGGCCCCGAGCTGATGTTTAGCTGGAAGACAGCGGCGCCTCTCTGCTTTCGCATCCCTGCTGTGATAGTGTGTCTGGAAAACTGGGAGAAGTCGGATTTATTTAAAGAATGACTGCTGTGGCTTTGTCCTGGGTAGATGAACACTTTGCTCACTGATTTTAGGGAGAGGAGAAGGGAGGGAGAGAAACATCCATCGCTTGCCTCCCATATGTGCTCCTTCCAGGGACTGAACCCACAACCTAGGCTGGTGGTGCCCTGACTGGGGATTGAACCTGTGACCTCTTGGTGTATGGGTTGACACTGACTAACTGAGACCACGCTGGCCAGGACAACCAACGAACGCTTTTTTAAAGGGTGAATTAAATAGGTGAGCCTAAACTGAAACTGACTTGGTCTCCACGAAGGAAGGGCACTAGGGAGCAGTGGGGTCTGCGGCAAACTAGAGAGTGTTTCTGTCCACCTGGCCTACAGGGAGTGGCCGTCACTCAGTTCCAGGTGATTCTCGCTACTTGGGATTGTGGGCCCGGCTTCCTACAAGATCTGGCATGTTTGAAAAATTGGAAGACATCTGAATTTGTATGTGAACTCTTAAGTTTTGGTTCAGTCTGTAATTTACTCTCTGAGTTCAGGTATTAGGTATTCTGGGGAAATGAGTGTAATGTAGGTTGGCTTTAGTTTAGAAGCGAGTCTTAGCCTAAGAGGTAAAGGAGCATGGCGTGCTCTTCGCCGCAGGCGCAAGGTCAGTCTTTTTAGGTGTTCTCGCTCTCGCATCTGCCTTCTGCCCCCAGCTCTGTTTAAAGTCACAGGACCGTAATTTCCTAGGTATAAAATCTAAGACCGTCTGCCCGGTAAACCTCAGAAGTGTGCATGCTCCCAGTGGACAGTCAGTCCGAGTTATGAGGAACCCGGGCAGTTGTCTGGGTCATCTCGTCTTGCCCTGGCCGGGGGTGGGGGGGGTGGGTTCAGCCGACTGGAATGTCGTCCACACACCGAAAGGTCAGGTCAGGGTGCAGACGGGAGGCAACCAGCCTGTGTTTCTCACATCAGTCGTCCCCCCTCCCCGCCCTCTCCAAAGTCAACAGAAACATCCTCAGGTGAAGAATAAGTTAAAAAGTAAGTGAATAAATAAATAATCTTGCCTTGGGAGTGGAGGGTTGCTTATCCATTTTGTGAAATCCTCGCACCAGAGGTTACTCTTAGCTTTACGTTCTGGTTTGGACTAGTGGCCTTTGACCTCACCACCACGCTTGATTGGGTGGGGGGAGGAAAGGTATAGTAGTTTGACTTCAGACCGTTGGTTTACTTACAACGGGAACAAAATGCTGACTGTAAGTTCGACTGCGGAGGCCTCTCTCCTGGCCCTCGGGGAAGTTCCTAACCTGCGTGTTTGGCCTTACGCCGCAGGCCTCCCTCTTCGCTTCCCCAGCGCGAGTGTGTGTGTGTGTGTGTGTGTGTGTCTGTGTGTGATTGCACACCTGCTTGCGGAGGTGGGGGGAAGGGCAGGCCCGCTTTAGAACCCGCCCCCGACATGCACTCTCACGCATGAGTATGGCTTCTGCCACCACCTTCACAAGTTTCCTACCCTTCCTGGAGAGGTCCCCGCAGTTCCTCCGCGCCGATCCCACCCGTAAGGGCGCTGCTGTTACTGGGGCCCCTCCCGCCAGGCCTGACTGCCGTGGGTTTGGGATTTGTCAGAGCCACAGTGTTTCCCTGCCAGGACGCGTTCCCTGAAAAGTTGGGGAATTCTTCTCCTCGGCCCAGGACTGACTCTTTGGAACTTGACTGTGTTTCCAGGCCTCCTTCCAGGAAAAAGTAAAAATTCTAATACCCAGCAATAACCACTGTCATTTCCCTTGTGTTTATTCTTCTGGACCTTGTGGGTTGTTTGTTTGTTTTTCTTTTCTTTCTTTCTTTTTTTTTTCCCCTGGCATGATGAGTGTATTTCTTTCCCATTTAA